TTCCTCATAGCTCATGTTTTCTAGACCTTGAATCATTTTTGTTGCTCTTCTCTGGACCTTCTCCAATTTGTCCACATCTTTCTGGAAATACCGTGCCCAGAACTGGATACAATACTCCAATTGAGGCCTAATCAGTGCAGAATAGAGCGGAAGAATGACTTCTCACATCTTGCTCATAACACTCCTGTTAATGCATCCCAGAGTCTTGTTTGCTTTTTTTGTAATAGTGTCACACTGTTGACTCTCATTTAGCTTGTGGTCCCCTAGATCCCTTTCTGCAGCACTCCTTCCTAGACAGTTGCTTCCCATTCTGTATGTGTGAAACTGAATGTTCCTTCCTAAGTGAAGCACTTTGCATTTGTCCTTATTAAACTTCATCCTAATTACTTCACACCATTTCCCTAGTTTGTCCAGATCATTTTCAATTTTGACCCTATCCTCCAAAGCATTTACAAGCCCTTCCAGTGTGGTTTGATCTGCAAACTTAATTAGCATATTCTCTATGCCATCATTTAAATTGTTGATGAAGATATTAAACAAAACTCACCCCAAAACAGACCCCTGCGAAACCTCTCTTGTAATGCCCAGCCAGCAAGATTGTGAACTGTTAATAAATACTCTCTGAGAACAGTTATTCAGCTGATTATGCACTCACCTTCTAGTAGCCCCATCTAGAGCTGTATTTCCCTAGCATATTGATAAGAAGGTCATGCAACACAGTGTAAAATGCCTTACTAAATTCTAGGTATACTAGGTCCACTGCTGCTTCATTATCCACAAGGCTTGTTATCCCATCGAAGAAAGCTATCAGATTGGTTTGACATGATTTGTTCTTTACAAATCCATGCTGACTGTTCCCTATCACCTTATTACCTTCCAGATGTTTTCAGATGGATTCCTTAATTACTTGCTCCATTATCTTCCCTGGCACAGAAGTTAAACTGATACATGTAAAGTAATGCACACTGGAAAAAATAACCCCAACTATACATATTATATGATGGGGGCTAATTTAGCTACAACTAATCAGGAAAGAAATCTTGGAGTTATCGTAGATAGTTCCCTGAAGACAACCACGAAGTGTGCAGCGGCAGTCAAAAAAGAAAACAGGATGTTAGGAATCATTAAAAAAGGGATAGAGAATAAGGCAGAGAACATCTTATTGCCCTTATATAAATTCATGGTATGCCCACATCTTGAATACTGCGTACATATGTGGTCTCCTCATCTCAAAAAAGATATACTGGCAATAGAAAAGGTTCAGAGAAGGGCAACTAAAATGATTAGGAGTTTGGAACGGGTCCCATATGAGGAGAGATTAAAGAGACTAGGACTTTTCATCTTGGAAAAGAGGAGACTAAGGGGGATATGATAGAGGTATATAAAATCATGAGTGGTGTGGAGAAAATGAATACGGAAAAGTTATTTACTTGTTCCCATAATATAAGAACTAAGGGCCACCAAATGAAATTAGTGGGCAGCAGGTTTAAAATAAATAAAAGGAAGTTCTTCTTCACACAGCACATAGTCAACCTGTGGAACTCCTTTCCTGAGGAGGTTGTGAAGGCTAGGACTATAACAGGGTTTAAGAGAGAATTAGATACATTCATGGAGATTAAGTCCATTAATGGTTATTAGCCAGGACGGGTAAGGAATGGTGTCCCTAGCCTCTGTTTGTCAGAGGGTGGAGATGAATGGCAGGAGAGAGATCCCTTGATCATTATCTGTTCAGTTCCTGCCCTCCAAGGTATCTGCCTCCCCCCCTGGGGCTCCTGGTATTGGCCACTGTCGGCAGACAGGGTACTGGGCTGGATGGACATTTGGTCTGTCCCAGTATGGAAATTCTTATGTTCTTATGTTATGTTCTTATGGTCTGTAGATTCCTGGGTTGTTCTTATTTCCCTTTTTATAAATGGGCACTAAATTTGCCCTTTCCAGTCTTCAGTCTCTCTCCCAATTTCCATGATTTTTCAAAGATGAAAGCCAAACGCTCAGATACCTCTTCTATCAGCTCCTTGAGTATTCTAGGATGCATTTAATCAGGCCTGGGAGACTTGCAGGCATCAAACTTTTCTAAATAATTTTTAACTTGTTCTTTTTTTTTATTTTAAATTCTAAACCTACTCCATTTCACAGAATTACAGAATCCTAGAGCTGGAAGAGACCTCAGGAGGTCATCAAGTCCAGCCCCCTGCCAAGGGCAGGACCAATCCCCAACTAAATCAACCCAGCCAGGGCTTTGTCAAGCTGGGACTTAGGAACCTTTAAGGATGGAGATTGTACCACTTTCCTAGGTAACTCATTCCAGTACTTCCCCACCCTCCTAGTGAATAGTTTTTTCTAATATCCAACCTAGAGCTCTCCCAGGGTATGTCTACACTACAAAGTTAGTTCGAACTAACTTTCATAGGCGCTACACTAGCGCTCCGTTAGTTCGAATTTAAATCGAACTAACGGAGTGCTTGGTTCGAACTAGGTAAACCCCATTCCACGAGGATTAAGCCTAGTTCGAACTTACTAGTTCGAATTAAGGGCTGTGTAGACCCTTAATTCGAACTAGTGGGAGGCTAGCCCTTCCCAGCTTTCCCTGGTGGCCACTCAGGCCAACACCAGGGAAACTCTTCTGCCTCCCTCCCGGCCCCGGAGCCCTTAAAGGGCCACGGGCTGGCTACACAGTTTGTGCCAGTTGCAAGGCTGCCAGCACCCGTGCCAGCACACCCAGCAGCTGACACCCCATGA